CCTCCTTCTCATCATCATCATCATCATCATCGTCTTCATCAGTGTGATGGATTAATGACTGTTTGTGTCCACAGAGAAAGAGGAGAGGATCAGGAAGGAGAAAGAACAGGGGACGTATAAAGAGAAGGTGAGTGTGTTTGTGTGAAGAACAGGGTGTCCCACCCTGGAGTCCAGAATCAAGACTTTTGTCTGTGTCTGTGTCCAGCCGAAGAAGTCCAAGAAGAAGAAGGAACAGATTCAGGCGTCGACGGCGGGCGAGGCGATCGAGAGGATGTTGGAGAAGAAGAAGATCTCCAGTAAGATCAACTATGACGTCCTCAGAGACCTGAACAGCCGAGGGACAGGAAGTGGGGGGGGCAGTAGTCCCAGCAGAGCCTCCTCTGACACTGTCGCCGCCACACGGAAAAGACTCAACCGCCGCCGCCGCAGGAAGAACAGCGACGCTAACCGAGACTTAGCGGCTAACACTAACATTATGGGGAAGAGGTACTATCAGTCACTGTCACAATCTATACATTATCCATAATCTATAGTTACACTCAGTCTACTCAGTTACAAATAGTCTATAATCACTTTATAATCTATAATCTGTATATACTCTACAAATGCTCTATAATCTCTAGATTATATATATAATATATAATACACTTTATCTGTAATCTGTATATGATATATAATCTATACATTATCAATAATCTGTATACTCTATTGTATATACATGTTTTCGATCTTTATATGACTGATAAATGCTCCATATTCTAAAAATCTATAATCTATATTTACTCTTCAAATGCTGTATAATCTCTATATATTCTGTACAATCTATTTAATCCATAAATGCTGTATAATCTCTATATAATCTATAAATTATCTATAATCTATATAGACTCTATAAATGCTCTATGATATATGTATTATCTATATATAATCTATGAACGCTCCTTTACCTCTATATAATCTATAATCTGTATATTTTCTGTATGTTCTATAATCTTTATATAATCTATAAATGCTTTATAGTCCATTTATAATCCAAATAATATATAGATATATATCTTATAGTTTATATAATCTTTAATCTATATATAATTATAATGTGTTTATATTCTATTAATGCTCTATAATCTATAAACATAATATATTTAATAAATAGATAATGTACGTGTTGTATGTCATATAATCTATAATCTGTGTATAATCTATATAAAATGTTTACTATATATCTATAATCTCAGCCCTCTCTCCATGTCAGATTTTACATGGTGAGATTTCTCTCCTCAAACATTCAGATTGTCTTTGATACCATTTCAGTGTGTTTAGTCTCAGGCAGACTGAAGCTTCAACGATTAATCAGTTAATCAATCCAAGAAAATTAATCGTTAACTATATCGATAATCGAATCAAAGCTATTTGTTGTTCGTTTCAGTTTGTCAAATCTGAGGAATGTCATTTTTATATCGCAGTGAACTGAAACTGAAACGGAATAATTTAATACGACACACTGACTCTTTGATCTTTCACAGGTCACATGATTAATCAATTAATCAGAAAAACTCTCAACAGATCAATCAATAATAAAAATAAATAAATATGTGTGTTTTATTCCAGGGTCCGCCTCCTCCTGTCCTCCAGCTCAAAGAGGAAGAAGACAGCCGTCCAGGTCAGCAACCACACCTGACTCCACCTGACCACACCTGACCACACCTGACTCCACCTGACCACACCTGACCACACCTGACTCCACCTGACCACACCTGACCATACCTGTCTCCACCTGACCACACTTGACCACACCTGACTCCACCTGACCACACCTGACTCCACCTGACCATACCTGTCTCCACCTGACTCCACCTGACCATACCTGTCTCCACCTGACTCTACCTGACCACACCTGTCTCCACCTGACTCCACCTGACTCCACCTGACCACACCTGACTCCACCTGACTCCACCTGACTCCACCTGACCACACCTGACTCCACCTGACCATACCTGTCTCCACCTGACTCTACCTGACCATACCTGTCTCCACCTGACTCTACCTGACCACACCTGTCTCCACCTGACTCCACCTGACTCCACCTGACCACACCTGACTCCACCTGACTCCACCTGACTCCACCTGACCACACCTGACTCCACCTGACCATACCTGTCTCCACCTGACTCTACCTGACCACACCTGTCTCCACCTGACTCCACCTGACCACACCTGTCTCCACCTGACTCCACCTGACTCCACCTGACCACACCTGACTCCACCTGACCACACCTGTCTCCACCTGACTCCACCTGACCACACCTGTCTCCACCTGACTCCACCTGACCACACCTGTCTCCACCTGACTCCACCTGACTCCACCTGACCACACCTGACTCCACCTGACCACACCTGTCTCCACCTGACTCCACCTGACCACACCTGTCTCCACCTGACTCCACCTGACCACACCTGTCTCCACCTGACTCCACCTGACCACACCTGACTCCACCTGACTCCACCTGACTCCACCTGACCACACCTGACTCCACCTGACCACACCTGTCTCCACCTGACTCCACCTGACCACACCTGTCTCCACCTGACTCCACCTGACCACACCTGACTCCACCTGACTCCACCTGACTCCACCTGACCACACCTGACTCCACCTGACCACACCTGTCTCCACCTGACTCCACCTGACCACACCTGTCTCCACCTGACTCCACCTGACCACACCTGACTCCACCTGACTCCACCTGACTCCACCTGACCACACCTGACTCCACCTGACCACACCTGTCTCCACCTGACTCCACCTGACCACACCTGTCTCCACCTGACTCCACCTGACCCCACCTGACTCCACCTGACTCCACCTGACTCCACCTGACCACACCTGACTCCACCTGACCACACCTGTCTCCACCTGACTCCACCTGACCACACCTGTCTCCACCTGACTCCACCTGACCCCACCTGACTCCACCTGACTCCACCTGACTCCACCTGACCACACCTGACTCCACCTGACCACACCTGTCTCCACCTGACTCCACCTGACCACACCTGTCTCCACCTGACTCCACCTGACCCCACCTGACTCCACCTGACTCCACCTGACCACACCTGACTCCACCTGACCACACCTGTCTCCACCTGACTCCACCTGACCACACCTGTCTCCACCTGACTCCACCTGACCCCACCTGACTCCACCTGACTCCACCTGACTCCACCTGACCACACCTGACTCCACCTGACCACACCTGTCTCCACCTGACTCCACCTGACCACACCTGTCTCCACCTGACTCCACCTGACCCCACCTGTCTCCACCTGACTCCACCTGACCCCACCTGTCTCCACCTGACTCCACCTGACCACACCTGTCTCCACCTGACTCCACCTGACCCCACCTGACTCCACCTGACTCCACCTGACCACACCTGACACACGTTATCCACACACTATAGAAATACAATGACAGTAGAATGGACACTCTGATTCAAATCAACATATCAGGACGGTCAGACGGCAGCCATTTTGATGTGTACCGTTGTCACTGTGCCCGTTGATGACAAATAATCCTATTTCTGTGATACAGACATGTGATCATAAACACATACATGTGATATACATGCAGAGTGTATAGATGAAGAAAACCAGTTATTATTTAACCTGGACACATTTCACCTCTCAGGTCGAAAACCCCGTCACCATGACAACAGATACAACAACAGAGGCTGCACCTGAAGCAACGCCTGAACCTGAACCTGACACCAGCTCCGCCCCTCCTGCTCCAGCCACTGTGGCAGTGGAGGAAGAGGAGGAGGAGGAGGAGGAAGAGGTGGAGGTGGAGGAGTGTGTCAGCGCTCTGCAGCTCGTAGGAGGTCAGTTCACGCTTTTATTCTGAAAACCCAGAGGAAGGAGAGGTCAGAGACGCAGGCTCACCTCCGTCTGTTCTTCCTCATGGTCGCTTTGTATTGACGTCTCATCTTCGTAGTAAATCCTCCACAGGTCATGTGACCTCAGTCAGCACAGCAGAATCAATGAACCCAGACAGTGTGAAATATGAACCAGATACAGATACAGATACAGATCATATCTGAGGAAACAGCTGCAAATATCTGAGATTTATAAACCTTAACTTTTAACACAGAAGTATAAATAAAGTTTTTAAGATGTTAATTTTTTTGAAAACAGGTGTGTCAGGTCTGAGAGTATTGATTAATTGATTGATTGATTGTGTTTTCCAGATTACGGCTGTGAGGCAGAGGAGGAGGAAGTCTTTTAGCTCCGCCCTGCTGACCTTTGACCTCCAGTGAATGAACTCTCCATCCCGTCAGACTGAGGCAGCTCCACTGAGACCGATCAGTGTCACAGATCAATAAACAATATTGATCATCAACTAAACATGTTCAGTTGTTGCTGAGACGAAACCAAAATCTTTTTTTTTTCTTTATATTTTAACTTATGATTTGTTTTTAATTGACGACTGATCGGATGATGATCAGCGGGCGGCTCGTCACTGTCGGATAACCTCACAGCACTGAGCCGCTCGCTGATCATCATCCCGATTATTACACGGCTAGTTTTTAAATAATTCAATCATTTTATTTCAAAATGATTTTATTGTTTCCTACAGGGTCTACGATCACAACTGTTTCCATAGCAACAGTCTGTAGTCAGAAATAACAGACCTAGAACTGACCAATCAGAAGGCAGCGCCGTGTAATAATGGATTTTGTGACACTGAGGTTCTCGTGTTGTGTATATTGTAAAAAGTAAAGTTTGTGTCTGAATGTAAATCTGATCGTTCACATTCCTCTGACGACTCGTCGGCTTTTAACTCTTCGTCTCCTTCAGTCCTTTACTCGTGTGTTTATGAATGTGTGTACTTTGTGTATTTTAACTTTGTGTTTGTTTCTCTGAATGAAATGTAAAAAAAATATCATGTTCTGAAAAAAGAAAAAACAAAGACAGAATAAAGAAAGTAAAAAATAAAACTTTAATTCTGCTGATGTTTTATTTTCATATTTTTCCTCCTCCACTGTCGATGAACTTGTTTTCTACATAAATCACATTTTATTTTTGCCACTCTGATGTTAATAATCCAGACTGTGATTGGTCCTGATGACAGGAAGACAAACACATTCAAACAATCCCAACTTTATTCACACAGTGATTCTGTCACATACAACAGATCAGATTTTAAAGGAACAGTCCAACACTTCAGACAATCGTTGAGTTGGTTTTTTGTTTAACTTTGGATGAAGAGTCAAAGAGTTTCCTCTTCCTCAGGTCTTTATGCTAAGCTAGGCTAACCACGTCCTGCACGTCTGTCTGCATCCACAGAGATAAGACTGATGTAAGACAGAGAACAGGACTAAAGTTTGGGACTGTTCCTTTAATTCTGCTGAGGTTTAACAGAGACGAGAGGCTCCAGGAATCCTCCCTGAGGGACTCCCTGAAGGAATCCACAGGATAGACCAGGACTAAAGTGTGGGACTGTTCCTGTCAACAGGTTTACCTCATGCTGACACATCATGACTCAGTCTGCCTGTCAGACGAGCTTGAGGGTTCAGTGTCTCAGATTCTCTCAGTATCCAAACGTCTGTTTGATGGCGTGGAAGTAGAACCGCCTCCAGCCCTCCCTGGTGGACTCCTCCTCCCCCGCAGGGACTCCTCGACACTCCATCCTCAGCTCTGTCTCATCTCCTCTGTCCTCCAGCTCCAGACTGATGGTGGCGTAGTGCTCTGATGGAGAGACGACAACACACAAAGTTCAGATGTCAGATTGTCCCTGAACGCAGCGGTGGAGAGGGCTCATGACATCATCACAGGAAGACGTACCGCTGGGCCAGGTCCTGAACCGCCACCTCATCTCGATCCTCCAGTCCAGTACCTGCAGGCAAGAGCAGCGTGTGGTTACCATGGTGATGTGACAACTTAGCACTGATTGGCTGAGCAGCTGTGACCTCACCAGCTGTGTAAACTCTCCACTGACACTCCCGTCCAACATCTGGAACCTCCCTCCACGCCTACCATCCACTGTCGCCGCAGAGCGCGTGAACACCTGCACAAACTGCGGAGACAGAGAGTGTTAACTGTGGTCTGGTCTGTCCTGGTCTGTCCTGGTCTGTCTTGATCTGGTCTGCCCTGGTATTGGTCAGTCCTGGTCGGTCCTGGTCTTGCTCAGACCTGGTCTTGGTCAGTCTTGGTACCTCCTGGCCAATGAAGGTCCGGTACAGCTCATCAGGAGACGTTTGGAAAGTTTCCTTCAGGTCAAAGTTGCAGGTTGAGATTCGAACACCTTCGAGGCAGGGGGCAGGGCTAGATGAGCACTTGGGGACGGAGCTTTTCTGTAGGAGAATACAAAGAGGTCAGAGGTCACATCCACACCTGACTCACCTGAGCACCTGGATGCATACCGGCGGTTTACTGGTCTGGATGTGAATCATCTGTTTCGGGGGCTGAGGCTGAGACTGAGGTTGAGGCTGAGGCGGCTGAGGCTGGTCGGCGGTGGGAAGAATCATCCCCTGACTGAACTCTGTGAGGTCAGAGGTTGCTCAGGTTACTAAGGGGATCAGCTCTGATTTGTCAGTCCTGCTGCATTCTGGGTAACAGACCTGACTTGAGCTGAAGGACGTACTCGCCCAGAACCCTCCGGACTTCCTGAACGCCACTCTTCCTCATGAGGTTGAGGAGCGGTGTGTCGGGCTGGTCTTTACTCAGAGACACTGAGATCTGGGCGGGGACAAAGTCATCAATATGATCATTGATACTGTGATCAATACAGTCATCAATACAGTCATCAATATGATAAGAAGTTGCTGACTCACGTCAAGGTCGTCCATGTCGTTCTCATCTGACAGGTTGGACACGTCGAGTGTTCCTCGGTACTTCAATCCGGCACTGGACGTCCCTGTGGAAGACGGCAGGTATCCATTATGTTTCTTTAATACAGTTTATTATGTAACATGACGGTAGTGTGATGTCATCAGTGGGCCTGACATCATCAGTCACATCATCACTGACCCAGCCAGCTGGCCCTCAGCTGCCACTCATAGAAGAAGAAGAGTTTTCCCTTGCGGTTGTTGATGGACGCCTCGCCCTCCAGTTTGTTGATGTCGGTCAGCTGGGCGACGCCCTCAGGTCCCTCCACCCGCACCGCCAGCAGCAGCTGACGGAGGCGCTCCGAGGACCAGCCACTGACATCACGCTCTGTCCTGAGGGGCAGGAGGAGCAGTGGATTTCTGAATGAAACCATCACTGACCAGATGAACGCACACACATGAACTACAGCCCCGCCCCCCTCTGACATCACAGCCTGTCCTCCAGCTGGCTGTGTTTAAAAAAGTGTTTAAAAATATCTGAACAGCTGAACTAGGCGGAGGATCAGGTAACACACTCTGCAGTCTGAAAATAACACACACACACACACACACACACACACACACGCTCAGAATTTACTGGATTCTTCTCCATGTGACATGATTAAACTGATCCACTGACTTTTACCATCATCATCATCATCATCAATAATGTCATTTGGTTTATAAAAAATAAAAACAAAGATCTGATATTTTTATTTTCTTAAAACTGTTTCAACAATCAGAGCCACGTTATATACTGTGTAGTGTGTATGTCAAACTGTACACATTTATTTACACACATATATATATATATGTGTGTAAATAAATGTGTACAGTTTGACATACACACTACACAGTATATAACGTGGCTCTGATTGTTGAAACAGTTTTAAGAAAATAAAAATATCAGATCTTTGTTTTTNTATATATCCCCTCTCATGGGGATGGTTCAGGTCCTCTTACAGAGTCCTGGGAGTTTGAAGGTTCAGTATCTTGTCTGTTGCTAGGACTGTGCTCCCATAACCACTGGCACCACTGTTGCCTTTACTCCCCACATCTTTTCCAGCTCCTCTTTCAGCCCTTGGTATTTCTCCTTCTTCCTGATGTTGCTGTCATCGATCACCACTGCCTTCTTCTGTTGTTTGTCCCTCGACCTTGGGACTTCCAGGCTATATTTGGTGCAGATGTTCCTGTACATGATGCCCGCCACTTGGTTATGGTGTTCCATGTACGCTCTTCCTGCCTCCATCTTACATCCTGCTGTTATGGTCTGAACTGCCTCAGGATCACCTGGGGTCCAGTCTGCTGTGGTAGACCCCTGCTTCTATTAATCTGGTACTAAGTTCCTGTTCCTGTGCTGCCATGATTTGTGCTTCTGTGCTGTCTTTCAGTCCAGCCTTTTCCAGATACTGCTAGGATTTCTTCTTCAGTCTGTCGGTGGTACACGCCATGATGATGGTTCGTCTTCCTCTTCTGCTGCCTGAGGTATTCACTCAGCAGCTCATCTTTGGGGGCCATCTTCCTGATGTAGTCCTGGATCTTGGTTGGTTTGTCCTGGACAGTGGCTCTGATGCTCACCAGTCCTCAGACCCCTTCGTACCACTTAGTGTACATGATCCTTCATGTACATGATCCTTCATGATCAGGACTGTCCGTCCCTGGGTCATCCCCTCTGGATCCTTCATGATCAGGACTGTCCGTCCCTGGGTCATCCCCTCTGGATCCTTCATGATCAGGACTGTCCGTCCATGGGTCATCCCCTCTGGATCCTTCATGATCAGGACTGTCCCTCCCTGGGTCATCCCCTCTGGATCCTTCATGATCAGGACTGTCCCTCCCTGGGTCATCCCCTCTGGATCCTTCATGATCAGGACTGTCCGTCCCTGGGTCATCCCCTCTGGATCCTTCATGATCAGGACTGTCCCTCCCTGGGTCATCCCCTCTGGATCCTTCATGATCAGGACTGTCCCTCCCTGGGTCATCCCCTCTGGATCCTTCATGATCAGGACTGTCCCTCCCTGGGTCATCCCCTCTGGATCCTTCATGATCAGGACTGTCCCTCCCTGGGTCATCCCCTCTGGATCCTTCATGATCAGGACTGTCCCTCCCTGGGTCATCCCCTCTGGATCCTTCATGATCAGGACTGTCCCTCCCTGGGTCATCCCCTCTGGATCCTTCATGATCAGGACTGTCCCTCCCTGGGTCATCCCCTCTGGATCCTTCATGATCAGGACTGTCCCTCCCTGGGTCATCCCCTCTGGATCCTTCATGATCAGGACTGTCCCTCCCTGGGTCATCCCCTCTGGATCCTTCATGATCAGGACTGTCCCTCCCTGGGTCATCCCCTCTGGATCCTTCATGATCAGGACTGTCCCTCCCTGGGTCATCCCCTCTGGATCCTTCATGATCAGGACTGTCCCTCCCTGGGTCATCCCCTCTGGATCCTTCATGATCAGGACTGTCCCTCCCTGGGTCATCCCCTCTGGATCCTTCATGATCAGGACTGTCCCTCCCTGGGTCATCCCCTCTGGATCCTTCATGATCAGGACTGTCCCTCCCTGGGTCATCCCCTCTGGATCCTTCATGATCAGGACTGTCCCTCCCTGGGTCATCCCCTCTGGATCCTTCATGATCAGGACTGTCCCTCCCTGGGTCATCCCCTCTGGATCCTTCATGATCAGGACTGTCCCTCCCTGGGTCATCCCCTCTGGATCCTTCATGATCAGGACTGTCCCTCCCTGGGTCATCCCCTCTGGATCCTTCATGATCAGGACTGTCCCTCCCTGGGTCATCCCCTCTGGATCCTTCATGATCAGGACTGTCCCTCCCTGGGTCATCCCCTCTGGATCCTTCATGATCAGGACTGTCCCTCCCTGGGTCATCCCCTCTGGATCCTTCATGATCAGGACTGTCCCTCCCTGGGTCATCCCCTCTGGATCCTTCATGATCAGGACTGTCCCTCCCTGGGTCATCCCCTCTGGATCCTTCATGATCAGGACTGTCCCTCCCTGGGTCATCCCCTCTGGATCCTTCATGATCAGGACTGTCCCTCCCTGGGTCATCCCCTCTGGATCCTTCATGATCAGGACTGTCCCTCCCTGGGTCATCCCCTCTGGATCCTTCATGATCAGGACTGTCCCTCCCTGGGTCATCCCCTCTGGATCCTTCATGATCAGGACTGTCCCTCCCTGGGTCATCCCCTCTGGATCCTTCATGATCAGGACTGTCCCTCCCTGGGTCATCCCCTCTGGATCCTTCATGATCAGGACTGTCCCTCCCTGGGTCATCCCCTCTGGATCCTTCATGATCAGGACTGTCCCTCCCTGGGTCATCCCCTCTGGATCCTTCATGATCAGGACTGTCCCTCCCTGGGTCATCCCCTCTGGATCCTTCATGATCAGGACTGTCCCTCCCTGGGTCATCCCCTCTGGATCCTTCATGATCAGGACTGTCCCTCCCTGGGTCATCCCCTCTGGATCCTTCATGATCAGGACTGTCCCTCCCTGGGTCATCCCCTCTGGATCCTTCATGATCAGGACTGTCCCTCCCTGGGTCATCCCCTCTGGATCCTTCATGATCAGGACTGTCCCTCCCTGGGTCATCCCCTCTGGATCCTTCATGATCAGGACTGTCCCTCCCTGGGTCATCCCCTCTGGATCCTTCATGATCAGGACTGTCCCTCCCTGGGTCATCCCCTCTGGATCCTTCATGATCAGGACTGTCCCTCCCTGGGTCATCCCCTCTGGATCCTTCATGATCAGGACTGTCCCTCCCTGGGTCATCCCCTCTGGATCCTTCATGATCAGGACTGTCCCTCCCTGGGTCATCCCCTCTGGATCCTTCATGATCAGGACTGTCCCTCCCTGGGTCATCCCCTCTGGATGGGTCTGTCAGCAGCTGGTTCATTTGTGTTGCCACGTTCATGATGTGCACTTACTCACTTTCATTAGTCACTTCTGTACAGTGTATATGTCATTTGTTGTTATATTACATTGTTATACACACAACATATATACTACACAGTAAATAATGTTTTTATATAATATCTATATGTATATATACACACACACACACACACACATTATTATACACTGTGTAGTCTATATATCATTGTGTATACAGACATAATTACAGATTAACTGCAGATCTGTTAATGTTTGTTAAAAACATTCAAAGTTTAATTTTTCTCTCTGATCCACTTTTAAAGACATGTAAACAACAACAACAATAACAAACAATAATAATAATAACAGACCAGTGCCAGTTGTTGACGTTGGTGGCGTCGGCTCTTTGCTCAACGATCCATCGAGGATCTCCCTGTCCCCATTTAGCCATGACTGAGTACTGCGAGCACTGAAGTACTGAAGTACCACTGACTAAAGTACTGAAGTACCACTGACTGAAGTACTACTGACTGAAGTACTGAAGTACTACTGACTGAAGTACTGAAGTACTACTGACTGAAGTACTACTGACTGAAGTACTGAAGTACTACTGACTGAAGTACTACTGACTGAAGTACTGAAGTAC